CAATCCAGGTATGTTTTGTTCTAGTTTCACCTTTATTTTTTAATTTGTTTTCAATTTTTATGTTTCAAGCTTTCAATTCATCATTAGTTTTTGGTTTTGGCCTTAATTTTTGTTTGCTTTGAGCTTTGACAGTAAATAAGAATCTAAGAGTTTCTTATTTTTCGATTTTTTGTTGTTGAACTAAAGTAATGTAATTTTATTTTCGTATTAGGGTTAGCATGAAGCAGAGTAATAAATGTCGATATTGAGAAGGAGGAGGCATTCTAAGGGTTATGTGCAATGGTATGTATCCTTTCTTTCTAGCATTTGAAATTTAATTGGGGAACCAGTTAATATTTCGTGTTTCATCAACTTGCAGGTCAGAGCAAATCTGTCAGGGGCTTTGAATGCAATGATTTTCATTTGTAAGGCTATTTCAAGTTGGCGGGTTATCTGCAATGGTATGTATCTTTTGTAATTTCAAGTTGGCGGGTAATGTGCAATCCGTTCTAAATAATTTGTGATAATGCTTTTCTCATGTTTTTTTTTGCTTTCAGGAATGAGGAGTTGAGCACACCTGAGGTAGCCATTAGCTCAGAATCGACACTTCCTCCAAAATGACCCATCGACTTATATTTGGTGTTATAGTATTAGGAATTATGACTAGTAGTAGGTCCAAGTATTAATGATATGGTAGAAGAAATTGTTTGTTTCAATTTATATAAAATAAGTGATATTGGAAGTGGCAGGAAGGGATGTTTTTGTCATGGCTAGGGATTGCAAATCTGCAGAGGAAGGAGGAGGATGAATGTTTTGCAGAATTGCAGATTTCAGTATTCCACCCTTGCACTGGATCAAGCTTGTAAGTTTATCTACTTTACGTCTTATGATATTTTATTAGGCTGTTGAGAAAAATCTTTACTATATCTTGCAATATGCAAAATGTAGCCTCCAAATCGATATGGAAAATTATTAAGATGCAAATACACTTCTTAGACACATGTATCATTCATATAATCTCAATCACTACCTTATGTTTTGTTTGATTTATTGATTATTCGTTGCTAGTAATTTGATCTACGCTTATGTGATGTTGTGCAGGTTTCGGGAAGTGAAGTCTACTAATGTTAGAGCAGTTTGAGTACAGAAAGATTAAACAATCGTGTTGCTATTACTTGCTTCCTTTTTCAATTCACTTGTAGATGTACCATAAACAAGTTTATTTATATCTTTTTTAACATTGTTATTCTTTCAAAAAAACATTGTTATATTATAATTGAAATTCTGGTATTAGTGTCTATTTATTCATTGGATGCCATAATATGTTACTTTTATTTTTATTTTTGTTGCTTTTTGTTTCATCGTGTAGCTTTTTGTTGCATCTCATGTGTTGCTTTTTGTTATATCATGTTGCTTTTTGTTTAATATTTTGAACATTTAGTTTTTTTCTTCATGTTTACATATATTATTTCAATTTTTAGTTTTTTTTTGTCTACCATAACTCTGTATAAATATGTGTATTTTTGCGTGCCACAAACACCTTAAATAATAAATTTTATTTTTGAAATAAATAAGAATAAGAAACAAGAATAAACAATCAGAAACAAAAAATCTAAAGTAATCAACAATAATAAACAGAAAGAAACAATATGCAACAAATAGGGTGACAATGAAATAATAATAATAGCAATTATTGAATCTTGTAACTATTTAAAAGAAAATATTAAATTAAAAATTATACATACTGTTTTTTTTTTCATTTTTTACTTCGTTTTAACATTTTAATTATTTTAAATTTCATTCCAACTTTTTATATTTTAAACGTTTTTTAGTATATTTTTTCCTTCATTTTATAAATTTAAAATATCTTATTTTCTATTTCTTTTTATTGGTAAAGTAAAATTTGAACTCTGTGGATGTTTTCAAATTTTATATAGTTATTTGAATTTCTTGGATTCTTTCTTGTATTGTATATATTCTGATGTTAAAAAATTACTCTCACAAAAATTTCTATCTACTTTTGATATTTTATACTAGTAATTACTAAAAAAACAAGGCATGAAAAAAGTATCAACAAAAAGCAATATAAAGCAACTATTTGCAACAAATATAATAATATGATGATATTAACAAAAAATATGATATCTCTTTTGAATGATGGAAAAAAACTATTTCTATTTTTTCACTTTTTTAGATTGCAATTTTGCCTAAATTCTTTTCTATTTTTAAGTTTTAACATCCTCATTGTTTGTGTTTTGTCTTTTTGTTTAATTCGTTTACATGTTTTTAGTTGTACTGAACTTTTCCAATTTTTAATATTTATTTTCAATATTTAATTTACATTCTTTTCAGTATTGAGATATTTTTGAATATAAAATTTTATTTTATTTTCTTAAATTTTTTCAATTTTGATCTTTATTTTAACTTTTACAATGTATTCTACATTAAAACAAATTAACTGTTTTTTGTACGGAGTATAATTCATTGAGAAAACGTACTTTCTATTCTTTATTACAACCTTTCCCAATATTTACCTTTTCAACATTGTTTTGATCTTATTTATCTAAATTTTATACGGAGTATATAAGTTTTTAAACATTTTTTGTGATTCAGATATAAATTTATATTTTTTTCTTAATTTTTTTAAATTTAATTGCATCTTTTCAAGTTTGAGACTTTTTTATATTTTTAATTTTTTAATTCGATTATTTACTTTTAGTTTTTAAACTTTTATTACTTCTTGTATTTGGTTTTATCTTTTTGAATTTTTATGATTTTGACATTTCTGCTTTGTAGTTTTGATTTAAAAGCAAAAAGATTGTAATTAGTGTTCTTTCCATTTTTCTATTTGCTTTGTAATTTAGTTGACTATTCTTCCATTAAGCTAATTCTTATCTTTAGTTACGTACTTACATTACTCACGTATGCTTATGTACTCTTGGGCCCAACAACAGGGACTGAGGGACGAAGGCTTCCCGTAAGAGTGCTACAGAGCCTACTGTCTATTTGTGAAAAGAGAAGTCTAATTGGCCTGCCTTTGAAATATAAAATTAAAACTGAAAAGGGTGATATTATTTATACTCTTTCGACCGTTTGCGAAAAAATCCCAAAAAAGTTCAAACATGATTTATTACTTTTATTATTATAATAGTAATAATAATAATAATAATAATAATAATAATAATAATAATAATAATAATTATTAATATAATAATAATAATAATTATTCTTATTATTAATATAATAATTATTCTTATTATTATTAATATAATAATTATTATTATTATCATCATCATTATCATCATTATTATCATTATTATTATTCTTAGTAATTATATTTATAATTAGAATTATAAATATAATTACATTATAATTATAATTATAATAATAATTATATTGATCAATATAAGTATAAATATAATTATATTTATACTTATATTTATAATTATTATTACGGAGTATAATTATAATTGTAATTATAATCATATTTATAATCACAATCATAATCAAAATTATAATTATAATCATAATTATAATTATAATTATAATTATAATTATAATTATAATTATACTTATACTTAACAATAATAAATCCTATTATAACTATAATTTTATAAATAAATATTATATATATAAGTAAAATTATTATTATAGAAATATTTATAATTAAAAATATAATTACAATTATAATTATAGCTATAAATATAATTCGTGTAATATGTATAATTATTGTTAATTTTAATTACAATTGTTATTATAAATACAATTATAAATTTTTATAATTATTATTATATTTATAATTATTTTTAAATTGTAATTATTATTATAATAATCATAATCATTATAATTTTAATCATACAAATACTTAAATCAGATCTGATCAGAAAGATTCAGATCAGATAAGAAGGATTCAGATCAGATCAGAAGGATTCAGATCAGATCAGAAGGATTCAGATCAGATCAGATCAGAAAGATTCAGATCAGATCAGAAAGATTCAGATTAGATCAGAAAGATTCAGATCAGATCAGAAAAATTCAGATCAGATCAGATCAGAACTTGATAAATTCAGATCAGAAATATCATCGATCGAATTTGTTATAGTTTGGCGCCAAGTGGAACTATCTGGAAGCAGCGCAGCAGCCATGCCTTTAAATAAGAGCACTAGAAATTGTGCTGAACTTCTGAACTTAAATTGTGCTCTGAACTTCTGAACTTGGAGAAATGGGCGGGGCTATAATTCTCACAGCATCATTTTCTCTGGTCGGAGGGCTCTTTCACCTATGGAGCACCAAGCATTTCACCTTTTCAATGCTAATTATGTGACACCGCACCCGAATGTCCTTGGAAATTTGATTTGAATATTCAAAGCTTATGTATTGGATTTCTGATTCCCAAACATTTTGTAAAACGATCAATGTTCTACGTAGTGCATGGTTGAATATCGTACTGTTCAAACTCGTACATTAGTGTCGGGTTTCGCAAATACTTACTCGGGACTTATTAATAAATAAAAGAGCCCAACATTATCTATATAAGTGATCGAAGGATTAAAGAAGAATACAAATGCCTATAACCCCATCTTTGGCATTTTTGAGCTAAATAATGGGAGTAGGATTTTCCTTCTATAACATCCATCAAGTAAATTATTGGGATGAGCCTACACATATTGGAGGTCAATAATGTGATTTAGGAAGTTGACTTGTTCTAAATAAATTAGGATGAGTACAAAAAGACATCTTTGACAAAGATAAAACAATAGGACCCATCTTCCCATTTTTGGAAGTATTGGTAGATATTTTGGACCCCAAATTGATTGGGATTAATTGGGGGGCATCCCATGTGGCTTGAGTACCTGCAAGACAAGGAAAATATGTGAGGAGACTCACCTTGGCCGCACCACATGGAGAAGCATTGCCCATGACACAATTGGGATCAAATTTTGGGGCCACCACCACTGTTTTCGCACAAACAGGTGTGCTGTTTTGTCTCCCTTCATTTTGAGAGTTGTACTCGTCCAAATGGGGTGTATAAGGTGTCTTTGGATAGCTTTTGAAGTCTATTTTCATATTTGAGTGGCCACAGTTCGAGAGGAGAGAGCAATCATCCAAAAATCGATCTGGAACGAGCAGAGGTCTGTGAACTCGAGCTGTGAGAGTGCTGAGACTGTTTGGTCTATATCTCGAGTTTTACCAATCCAATTAAGACGTGTGAGATACCAAAAGAAAGCTCTCAAGACGAGGAATCCGTGAAGGTCTGGTTTGCATCAATCGGAGTAGAGGAAGGCTTCCAAATCGTCCGAACAGAACGCGACCTCGCAGGAACGGATTTACTCTTCTAAGTGAGTTGTTAATCCCAAAACCTTTCCATTCATTTTCCAAATGATATGAACGATTGGTGGAACTATTATACACTACTCCAAGTGTATAATGTGTCCCTATTAAGTTATTTTATTGATGTAAAGGTTAGATACTAACCTAGAACAAATCTTGGAAAACTAGGAAACGAGTTAGCCGGAAAACACCCATTCTAGGGGCTGTTTTCGTACCAACGTTTAGGGGTTGAGCTAGCACCTTGAAGAGGCTGTTTAACACTCATATTTGAGCAAGGAATCAGTTCCAAATCCACCTTGACCGAAGCTTTGACCATTGGACCAAGAAGGGAAAGTTTAAAGCTCAATTGAGGTGAGGATTGACATCTAATTGCTTACAACTTGTAGGTTAAGCATGAGATTACCTAAATGCTTAAATCATGATTTTTCATGGATTATGATGATTATATATTGATGAAATATTGATATAGTTGCCAAAGAATTAAATTTGGAATGATTTGAGAAGGTATGAATAATATGAGATTACATGAGTATAAAAGAACCATTTTGTGAAAATGGGTATTTTACTCATGCATGAATTATGTGGATACATAAATGAATATTTGTGTATTGAAATTGAATGCTTAAGTTGCTGCTACATAATTATAAATATGTAGAGAATTACAATAATGAGGATAATGGTATGATACCAATAATCTTAATAGTATTGGAATACTAGTTAGTGACTATTGGGACTTGTAAATTAAATTGATCCTAGGGATTGGATTGTATGAAAGATACTTGAATATAGTTCAAGTGTAGATAATAACCTAGTATGGAACTAAGGTTAAGTTATGGGAAGTCTTTAAGAATGACCCATGGTAGTATAATGATATGTCAATTCTAGGCATAGGGTTGCTTGAGAATTGGACCTTAATGCATGGTGATGTGATAGAGCCGAGCTCTAGAATGCATGTAAGGTGTAGACTTGGAGTCTATGTATTGTATAGCTAGAGCCGAGCTCTAGGGCTTGCGTGGTGATGTGATAGAGCCGAGCTCTAGAACGCAAGGTAAGGAAATTGACCCGAGGTATATGGATTGTATGGTGATGTGGTAGAGCCGAGCTCTAGAATACAATGTCATATACTAGGGTTGGACTCTAGGAGTTGTCGTGGCTTATAGTCACGGGGTTGGGAATGGTGATTTCCAAATGAACATGGGCCCACGGGCCGACTACTTGACTTTTATATAAAGTAAGTATAATTTTTAAACGGGGTAACTCAGGGTTACAATCATAATGTACTATCACCCTATTTGAGGGTCTTGTGTTTGAAATACTTGTTGTATATCTATTAGATGCCTGCCACACCAGTACTTTATAGCCGTATAGAGTACTGACCCCTTCGGGGGCGTCCCACCACCATTTCAGGTTGAGGCTAGAGCTTGCATCCTGTGCTCGTTGATCGGGTGATTCCTCGGAGAGAAGACTTGGTTCGTGCTTCCTCCGTTCTATTTGAAACATTATTAAATTTGCTCATGGATATTTTACTATAGAGCCTGCGTGCTCATGGATAGCCCTGCGTGGCTCTTTTGTTTTAAATAATGTTTTCCGCTGCGTTATGAATTACTTATTATGTTTGTTTATGGATGTATATGTGTGAATGATATTCAAGACGCCTTGTATAATATGAATGTGTTGGACTGCGGTTGACTATTCATATTGTACGGCGGGTTGTTGACGTGTCCGGATAGGTCTGGGGCGTGACAAATTATGTCCCTTTGGTGTGCTACAGGAGTGATGAGTATTGTGGTGGATGGGATGACAGCTGATAGATGGACCTATTTTGTGGCAGTCACCATCCACAATCTATTCAACTTTGGAGGCTTAATTATGTGGAAGTACATGAAGTCAATGACGGACATGAGAGTATACAAGAAGGAAATTGAGATTTGGATTACAATGGCGTTGCTCAGTGTTGCCGAGATGTTGTATTTGATGTACCAGACCTCTTGCATATCACTTGACTCTCCCCGCGCATGGTATGATGAATTCGCTAAGTACGACAAGCTGTATACAGTTGCAATTGGCATCGTAACAATCTATGAACAATGGATTACTAAATACATTGAGTTTAGAGCCAATAAGAGAATGAGTAGCTCCCACCGTGCGCTCCTAAACACTTTTACTCACCTCGTTCATCAATCTCTTGTGGGAGGTCCTGCGGCTGCCGATGATCTCAGACACCAATTCTATAAATTCATTAAGGATGCTGAATTGATTTTGGGGATTCCGCCGGAGATGGGCATGCTGAAGAAGGGGAGTTGGGCCTTAGTGTAGGGGTAGGGGTAGTCCACTGTTAATCAATACTTGTATGGTGTTTCAGTAAGCTTGTGTCTCTGTTGATTGTCGATAATAAAAAATACTGATTAAACGAATGAAGCTTGTGTCTCTGTTCTCTACTCTCTAGGGGTAGGGGTAGTCCTCTGTTAAACAATACTTGTATGGTGTTTCAGTAAGCTTGTATCTCTGGTGTTTCAATTCGAATGAAGCTTGTGTTTAAACGAATGAAGCTTGTGTTCTCAACGTTATGGGCATTTTAGTAAATTCAAAAATCCATATAAATAAAACCCCAAATTTACTCTGCCTCCTACTCCAGTTTTTTTCTTAAAGCTATAGATGGATCGAGAAGAACAGCGTGGTGCATAAGTTCCTCTCAGGGGACAGAACCCATCCGAAGATGAGATTTTCTTAAAGGTGAATGGTGTTTTGAGTTTGATCAAGGAGGCTGGTTATGTTCCTGACATGAAATGTTCTCTTCATGACATCAATGAAGAGAGTAGGCAGCAGAACCTAGCTTACCACAGTGAGAAGTTGGCTGTCGCGTTTGGGCTTCTTTATTTTCCGAAAGGAGCAGCGATTAGGGTATACAAGAACCTAAGGGTTTGTGGGGATTGCCATACTGCAATGAAGTTTATTTCTAAAGTGTTCCAACGCCATATCATCCTCCCGAGACCCCAATTATTTCCATCATTTTAGATTGGGTACATGTTCTTGTAGAGATTATTGGTAGGCTTTAGCAAGTTGTTATGGTGCCTAAAATCTAAATACACTTAGAAAAGAAGAAAAATACTATGTTGTATCATTGTCTCTTTGACTTTGGCAAACACTTCGTTAATAGTAGGGTCGTCTAATAATGGCTATAATGGTGTCTTGGTGGGTTTTGTATTGGGAATGAAAATGGGAAGGAGTTGAACAATAAACTGAGCTGTTCAGATACCCAAGCACGGGAGATTGAATGTTTCCCCTCAGGCTACTGCATCTGGTCATGGCCAAACACCAAATTCATCTACAGTCAAATGTTATCAGGAGGTTCTAAGATCTACACCCCCAATAATCATTCTGGCATTTTAAATTTCTTTCTCGTCAGTGATGAACTGATGTGTGATTATATTGCCAGATTTTAAGAGATGCTAGGCACAAGTTCACGCGGGAGATATCTTTTGAGTTGAAGGACACAGATATATTACTAGCAAAGGTATTCGGTCTTCTCAATCTTGTTTGCTTGTAGTTGACCGGTTCAGTTTGATCATAAGTATTTCATGAATACAGAGCTGTTTAATTGTTTGTCTTGGATCTGTTCTATCTCTTGGATCTTCTTTTCTATCTGGTTATTTAATATGTCCAATTAAATATTTTTGACAAGTTCAGCAGTTCAGCTTGATCATTAGTATTTCACGAGTAGCAAAGCTGTCACTCTTTCTTCTTTGCCTCCTTGGTTTCTGGTTATTTATGCAATGGAATCTTGAGTCTTTGACTATCTGAGATGATCTGCATGGCATATTCATCATTGTTTAATGATATGTAATTCGATGTTTGGGATTCTGGGATGGAGCCCACTCTTGACAAGAAAAAAAAACTATTCTTATTTTACTCTAATAGTAAAAGGTTCACAAAAAGCCAAATGCTTTGAGAAAAACAAAATGCCTAGGTCTGTTTGGATGGAGGGGTTTTGAGGGGACAACTCTGAGAGTTTAGTGTATATCTTGATACATAGAAAGTTCTATGGTATCCCAGAAAGTTATTTTAGAGTGTGTGTATCTGTGTGTCCGGTTTGCTTAGATGAAACATCTGGGTGCGCCCCACGTGGCAAACGACGCAGGTTTGAGTACACGGAATCAATTGATGTTCCGGCTAAAGAAGTCCCTACTCGATTACAGCAGTTAGCTGCAAAACATAAGGTTGTATTGTGTATAAGGCAGAAGTACATTTGGTATAAGCCGTTCATGGCGGAAGTTAAAGATTACACGTGTCACCGAGCAGGCGAGCCGGCATCCTCAAAAAAATCAAAGTTTTTGAAGAGAGAGCCTTACATGTCGAAACGGTGTGGGTGTGGATTCCGCATTCGGGCAATCGTCCCAATATCAAACTATAACGAGAAAGATAAGACTTTTGTGTATCAAGAAGAGGGTATGGCTGTTTTTAAGCTATATGCAGTGCATTCAGGGCACCAGCCGGGCCCATCAGATGGGAACGCAAGAATCATGCACCGTGTTGTTGGGCATAAAGGAGGCTTCTTGATGATGGATCAAGAAACAATTTATGGGGTGAGAGAAGAAGTAGATAATGAGGATTTTGGGGATATGAAGCACTCGGTTTTGCAGCAATTGCAGGAGGCAAGAAATGAGATCGAGCTTATGGAAGGGCAAATCGGGAAGTTACCTGATGAACTTTTGTGCTCAGCTTCTCGGGAGCTGCTTGATATTGTAAGTAAGCTTAAAAGTGTTAGAGAGTGCTGTTCATCTAAGTCAAATGGAATTGGTGTGATCCCTGACAAACACGATACGGATGATGTCATGGTGGGGGGAAATGATTTGGTCGATTGGGGTGGTGGTCATCATCAAAGATTGTATGATGATGGAAAGGAAGCTGAGTTTATTGAAGAAGATGAAGACAGCTTTGGAAGAACACTAGGGGAAGTTGCTTCTTGGGATCAAATGAGGACGGTTTGTAAGTCAGACAAGCAACATCTGAAAGGCATTGAGTTTGATGAGAAAAGCTTTCTTGATTCGAGGGATTCAAAATTGACCAAACCCTTGCTAAGGCATGATGAGAGTATAGATACTGATGTAGGATTTGTTGTCGAAAATTTCTATGAAAATCCGAAATGGTTTGATTCACCATGTGGGTTAGACTCCGGAACAGATTGTGGTGACAGTGAATTCAGGCCCGGGGGAATTGTTTAGAAATACACTCAAACTGACATTTATTTTTTTCCTTGGTTTTATTCTTCATCCGTTTGAATTGTTAAAAGTGAGTTGTACATGTGTATTTAAACAAAAAGATTGATGGTTTTCGTAGCATTTTAGTTGTCTTTCCTGATAAATGATAATATTTTTAGTTTGTCTAGGTAAAAAATGTAAACTTTAGTTCTTCATTTGGATATGTCTGGCTGTCCTTTCTTGCTATTATTATTAATATAATGTTTTTCCCATGTCTGTCTTTACATTAATGATAATCTTAGGTTATTTTGTTGCTTTGTTAAAATATTCTGTGTAACTTCATTTTGATATTCCTAGCAGTCTTTTGAGTAAGAGCTAATAAGAATGTTTGTTTTAGGCTTTTAGCTTGTGTAGTATATCTAGAATAATGTAACTGCAAGATTTGACATCACAGTCTTCTATTTTCAGTTTCTGACATTCTGTTACACTTACTACTATTTCAGTAAGCCTAAAGTGCTTACGATGGTTGGTGGCTATTGTGATATGGAATTTAGAGATAAAGAACGTCTCTTGCAAAAAGCCTATATTGGGGTTTAGGTGTAAAAGCTGAACCCTTTTCAAGATGGAGAAGGAGGCTGTTTTGACAATTTAACTTGCAAACGTTTGGTGAGTAAATATTTGTCTCTCCCCCCTTCTCTTATTTCATGAGTTAAAATTTCATAAGCACGAAGTTGTTATCAATAGTCATAATGGTGAGTGGAGAAATGTGTCTTGGGACCCTTGTCCATAGTACTCTTGATGCCTGCTAATAGTCTAATACTCCGTATGTACTTGCGAATTTGGACAGAACTTTTAGTGAGGCCTTCATTTACTGAAGTATGATTACTTCTATTCTTTACTCCGTATTTTTATTTTTATTTTTGAGCAATTGCATCAGGCCACCAAGTTGAGATGCAAGCTATAGCCCCATAGGTTAAAGTGAATTAATTACTCTTTGTTGAGGTTTATTCCTTCAACCCTTGGACCCAACACGTAAGCCCAAAGATTTCGAGTGGAGTGAGTGTATGAGTGTCTAGCCCAACAACTACCCGATGGATCAAGAAACAAGAATAATAGCAGGCAATGTAGATAGGTATTATTAACTTCGTAATAACTCCCCTAAGTACAATCTACTTGCTAAAAAAGGCACGTCGGCCGTTCGTCTTACAAGGCAGTTAGTAATGCTGCGAGTAAGAATGCTGAAGCTAGTATGCTAAGAATAGAAAGTTGCCAACCCTTTACAATGAAATAAATGCTTCTATTTATACCCACCAATGGGCAGGTGGCTGTACTGACGTGGCAGCCTGTGGACCGCTGGTGTCCCAACTACCAAATCTTCAGCATTAAATGCACTTCCCGCCAGAATCTAGGTTTCCCGCCTGATTAGTGGGGACGTTCGTCCTCCCGGGAAGTGAGTTGGATTGCTCCAAGTGACCCTCGAAAGATATCGGTCGTTCGTCTCCTGGCCTTATAGATATTCACCATGTGAACTGGGTCCCCTCCGATGACTACAGGCTTGTCCCGGAGACGTTCGTCGCCATCCCTGGTGGCCCGTGGTCCTGCTCCTTGTCCCTGCACAGACGTTCGTCGGGATGAGCCTGCTGGGCCTGAGCCCCCAACACCAGACGTTCGTCCATCCTCAAGGGACATGGGCCTGTGGGCTGGCCTGGTGTTCTAACCGGACGTGCGTCTGGCAATATGGGTTAGTGGGCCGGACCTCGGCTTGGGCCCTTAACCCAACACAAGTCCCCCACTTCTGATGTTCTGGGCTCGCGCAGGACATAAGGAAGTAGGAATCCCCTCAAGGTAGACGTTCGTGTCTTGATACTTTGTGTTTTTTGCACCCGTTGGAAGCGTACGCTCGTGGTCATGGTGCTTGACAGCTGTCGACGGTTCAGGAAACGGGGTGACGGCTGATGTTGCGGCGGAGCATTTCCCGAGGAAATGTCATCATTACGTTTTTGCCCCACGCACAGCGCGTGGGCCGGAATACGCTCCTTGCCACGTGTCAGCCCCTCGTTGGCTTCCCCATCGGTGTTCTCTCCTATAAATGTCGGGTTTTCCCTCTGAATTAGGGTTCCCAATTTCTGCTCTCTTGCTCTCGATTTTCCGCAGCTCTTCAAGTCTTCTTCTGAATTCGGCTAACCCCTTTGTCAGGTAATTTCCCCCCTCTGCTTCTTTTCTTGTTCTGATTCTTAGCCGAAATGACTTCGATGGAGATTTCGTCAAGCTCTGATTCCGGTTCGTCGGGTTCCTCCTTGGGTTCCTCTTCGGTCGATGTGAGTGCGCGCTCCCCCGAGAAGGCCAGTATTTCCGGGACCTCTGGTTCGGCCACGACGGTGGGGACCATCCGGGCTGATGGCGAGCCGGATGATGTGTCTCAAAGTAGTGGGAGCGACGCCGGGGACGGGGGTGCTGACGGGGGCAGTAGATGTTATTGACGCAGTCCCCCTGAATGAGCGTTCTGCTGATTATGATTCTGGAGAGGAGGCCGAATCCGGTTCCGATATGGAGGTGTATGACCTGGGCATCCCTACGGATATGGAGCGCCACATCTGCCCGATCAGGAGCGCCCTTGACCATGACCAGGTCCTCTCCCGTGTGGCCCTCAACAAAATCCGTACCTTCTTCCCCCCGCCGTTCGTCTGGAGCGTGAGAGGCGCTGAACATGTGATGAGGAGACGTCCGGGGATGATCGTGCTCCATTTGGACTCCGTTGAAGCCGGGCTGCGGTTCCCGCTCCATCCGTTCTATGTGGAATTCTTCCACTGCTTCCAGGTGGCCCCGGCGCAGTTCATGCCAAATTCCTATAGGTTCATATCTGCCTTTCTGGTGCGCTGCAAACTAGCGGGAGCCACTGCCACCTTGGAGCTTTTCCACTACTTCTACCGCATCACTCCCCAGAACTCCGATGGCTATCTGAGCGTGGCCGCACGTCCAGGAAGGAAACTGTTCAAGAACTACCCTTCGTCTATCCACGACTGGAAGAACCGCTTCTTCTTCCTTAGATACGATGGGCCTCCCCTCCCGGTCCGGTGGAATGGCTATCCCCCAAAGATCGAGTCACCGGAGCCGACCGACGATCTACTTTGGGATGTGGAGAAAGTGTTGGAGGGCGGCGTCCGTCCGATAGCCGAATATCTGACCTTCGAGGCACTCTCCGGGGCAGGCATAGGTACCGCCCGTGTCCCTGGACTCTCTCTACCCTTCGACGCTCGTATCGGGGCATCGGGCGGTCCTGTCCTTCGAGGTGAGTGTCTTACTGTATTTCCCGCTCGTCTTCTAACTCTTGTTGTTTCTTGCAGGTTCACCACCAGATAGAGACCAGATGAATCATGCCGAGTGTCTGAAGACAAGGAAGGCCAAGGCGGCCGCTGCTAAAGCCGCACTGGCGAAAGCCAAGAACGCCCCCCGCCTCGGAGTCCAACTCCTCGGCCTCTGATGCTGCCCGGCGAACTGCTGAGGGTGAGAACCACCTGATCGCCACTGTGCTGGCTCAGGGTTCTGGGGCCCCTGCTCTTGAAGCTGCCCTTCCACCGCCGGTCGTCCCGTCGAAGGCGGCTCCTCAAAAGGGGACGGAGAAGGTCCCCGAGAAGAGACAGAAGAGGGGCCGCGAGGCAGGCTCCACCGGGCCCCTGCTTGAAGATACCGGCTCTCTGCCATTGAGCCACCCGGCGGAAGAGCTTTGGAGGGAGATGGCCCTCAAGGCCGGCCTCGAGCTGCCCAGCCGTTCGTCCTCTGAGGCAACCAGCGCTGCCCTGGCAGCCGCTCTTCAGGTAATTCCTCCTTGCTAGATCCGAATATATTTTTTCCTTGACGTTCATCTCCTGACCATCACTTTCTCTTCTGTCATCCAGTCTGGGCTTCTAGTCCTCCAGGCTGAAGCTGCCAGGGAGGCCGATCTGAAAGAGGCCAAGGCCAAAGCTGATGCGGCCGTTGCTGCGGCCCGGGAAGCCGCCCGTCGAGCTGAGGCGGAGGCCGCAGCCAAGGGGACGGAGATTGCAGCCCTGCAGGCTGAATCCCGCAGCCAGTTGGCCGGCCTTGAAAGAGCCGGTTTCAAGCTTGTTCCGGTGCTCCCTGCTGCCAAGGATGCCACCCCGGAGTGGTTGGTCGACACCTCCGGCTACAGGAACACCGGGGAATTCATGGATTCCGCCAAGGATTATTGCGCCGGAGCCTTCGGTGATGTGTTCTCTGCGGTGCTGGCGAAGATCCCACCCCGGCAGCGTCTGGCGAGCGGGGTCCGGATTCTGGAGAGCTCCCCTTTGTCCCACAAGTTCCTCTATGAGGTCGGCGACAGCACCTTCGCCGCCGGCTACAACGAGGGGGTTAAGGCCACTCTCCCCATCTTCTCGAGGTTGCAAGGGGCTGATTTTGAGCTGGCTGCGAACACAGATGATGATCTGCTGCTTCAAGCCCTGGGGAAGCTGGGGAGGGACCAACGGCGGGCGGAAGCAAAGGCCAGAGGGGAGATTCCGGAACCCCCGACCCCTGAGCCCGAGGCCGAGGAGGAAGAGCAGACTCCGGGAGGCAGCCGGCCTGAGTCCCCTTTCTTTGTATAATGTAAATTGTATTTCCCCATTCTATCTTTTGTAATATCCGGCCATTAGAGCCGAAGAATATACATGCTTTTTTGCCCAAAATTACCTCTACGCTCATGACTTCTACTTGTCATTTTCCTTCCTTTTGTCTTTTGTTGTATGGAAACTCCCTTTGTGTTTCGATATTCTCTGTTGCATAGTCTGCGTGGACGTTCATCTCTGTTCCCCATTTGGTTTGGGGGCAGGGGCGTCTCTTTGCCAAAACCCCGTACATATTTGGTGCGCGGCGCCAGTGTTAAGGTCCGTCTTCGGATGGCAACATCCAGCGCCGATGCTGGCTGCCCCTCCTACACAGCATTCTGATGGTGAGACGACGTTCGTCGGGGGTTGGCCAAACAGCACACTTTAAGTGTGGTCATACGCACGTCGGAGATTGCCTCAATGCTTGCTAACGACGTTCATCTGCTGTCGCGCGGCATGAATGCTAAAGCTTCGGGCAAGGATGTCCGTCTGTCCTGCATGTTCGACTGGCATGGAGTGCGGAAAGGCGACGTTCATCCTCCGTGCGTCCCCTAAGGACATGATTTTATTTCATCATTTCGTGTCCTCCATCGTTTGTAGCATAAGAAATCCTTCCGGCGCCTCGACACA